GGCGCAGGGGCTGCGGCGTCCGCCGCCCTCCTGCCTTCCATCTGCCGGGACCCGGGCCGATCCTCGGGACGTCCCTTTAGGGATCTTGCGGGGACCTCTGTGATATCCAGCAGCCAAGAGGACCGTCCCGAGGGACCTCCCCTCCTCAAGCCACCCGCGGTGACAGTCAAGAAGCTGCAGAAGTGGATGTACAAAGGACGCCTGCTGTCCCTGGGGATGAAGGGTCGCGCTCGTGGGACAGCACCCAAAGTTCCCGGAGCGCAGGCAGCCTCTCCAAATTTGGGCAGTTGGAAAGTGCAGGAAAACCACGTCCTCTCGGTGACTACGGACCAGAGAATCACACTGACAGGTAGGGACACTTTGCCGTCAATATGCTAAGCAGCGCGGTGAGCCTGTAGTGCAGTGGCTCGCGTCCTTCCAAGCGCTGCGACCCTTTAATGCAGTTCCTCATGCTGTGTGACCGACCTGCAACTACAAAATCATTTCGTTGTTACTTTATAGCTAATGTTGTTACTGTTGTGAATCGCAGTGTAAATAGCCGATGTGTGACCCCGTGGAGGTGGCGACCCACAGGTTGAGAAACGCTGCTCCGGCGTTCACAAAGTGGGTTCTCCCAGTGTTTTTGCAGACGGTCGCGTGACTGCCACTGTCACGCATTAACTCTGTGTTCCTCTCGCCCTCCCTTCGCCTCCTCTTTCTCCCTCCCGGCTTTTTCCTTCTTTCCCTCTCCCGATGCTCTTTTTCCTCCTCTTCTCCCAGAGTGAGCGTGTTTCCTCCCTTAGGACAACAGTGAGTAAAAGTTAAGTTCTTTACATGCTTTTTCTGTAGGTTTTGAGATGGGCCGTACTGCTTTGATTTTTTTCTGTAGCTCTGGGAAAACCCTAAGACTTGGGAAGTTTGTGACCCTGACTGAATTCGACCCAAGGTAGAATTTTACAGGCTTCACGGGCTGTCATTTTACTTACTGGCTTCTCACCCAGGCACACACATGTGCTTGAGCTCAGACATGCACGTGAGCTTGCAAGCTACACACACATAAACAGACCCACCGCACAAAGCCAGCTAAACCCAAACAAAGCTAAGATTTCAGCCACTTGTAGGAAACCTAGGATACTGGTTTTGTAGTGAAAATAAGTGTTGCTCAGCACTGTCCATGTCAAAGCACCTAAAGTCACTTGAAAACTTAGGAAACACTATTTATAGTAGAAAAGAATTTTTAAGCCTGTTTGTCCTTATATAGTATTCACGCTCCTTGGTTTGGTATGTGCAGGGTTTGTAGTAATCACTGAAGGTCTAGGTTATTGGCTTTAGAAATCTCTGCTGAAAGAAACTTCAAAACTGTGTGGCATCGTGACACCCCTTAAATACAGGGGCTTGCAGTGAAGAGTTTTAAAAACAGTACTGAAAGTGTTTGAGAGTTTCACAGAAAGAGTGCACATGCAGCCCAGACGCGTGGGTGCAAGCAGGCCTTTATGTCAGCATTCTGGAGGGAGGCAGAGGCAGGTGGGTCTCTGTAAGTCCCAGGCCAGCCTGGCCTACACAGTGAGACCCCGTCCTAAAAACTGAAAGGAAGAGGAAAGATTACACATCCTGCAGGATTGGGTTACTGCACACCAACGTTAACTAATCACTAACATTAACCAATCAACACAAACCTGAGGAGTAACAGAGTTCACAAAAGTTTTAATTAAACAGCGATTTTGTATGGTATATAGACAATATATATTCAACAGTAGATTCTAATTCTGCTTCACCCAAGTAAAGGCACAGTCTTGTCTTTGTCAAGAGAGGGCACTTTACCAACTTCACATAAAAAACAAAAAACAACCCCCCCCCCTTTTCCAGATCTAAAGGACTCAGATAATCAAAAAATCTTACTCTCACAACCTTCAGGCACCTTTGACTTGGTTAATTCAGCTCTATGACAACTTTCACCGATAGCAAAACAGTCACTGTTGAATTACTTTAGTAATTGTGTAAATATTCAGTGAGTTAAATAAATATATTTCCTCAATGGATGAATTTGTTGGCTTCTTCCATTTTGACATTAAATCTGGAGATGCTACTTCAAAAAGAAATTAAAACCAAATATTGCAATTACTCTACCAGTGTTTTATAAGACGTCTAAGCTAAAGCTGCCCAAATCACCTACCTAAACTTTGTCTCCCTTGCTTGCATTCCTGTCACAATTTATTCTTTAGGAAGTAAAAACAACAAAATAGTTTTTCTAGTATCTAAGGATGTGGATAGTTAAAAGTTTTTCTTGATGGTTTGCTGGTCTGATCTGTTCTGGATTCTTTCCCTGGTTTTACTCCTATCTTTTCTCCACATCCAAGATAAGGCCATTGTCACTCAACAGAAAGGACCTAGAGGTAAGGAGTTTGTTGAAGGTGTCTTGCTGGTGTACAGACTCACATTGCTGCTGCACACAGATTCACACTGTCCTGTGGATTCAAACTCAGTTCTCATGACTCAGAAACCTCACCATATAAGGTACATAGACTCAGAATTCTCTAGAGGCTTGATCCAATTAATTTCATTAAATGGCTTGACCTGAGGAAATGGATGGAGTTTTATAAAACACGGTCTAGCGTGCAGAAAAGGTGGAGGAATTCTAGAATAGTCTTTAAAACTTATAAAAGAGTTTAATGATAATTTAATTTATTTTTTTAAACTAAAATGTTATGTGTATGGTGCTTATATGTATTTACGGGCACTGCATGCCTGCCTGGTGCGTTGGAGGGCGTTCTCTGGAATTGGAATTGTACACAGCTGTGAGCCTCCCTGTGGGTGCTGGGAATTGAACCCAGGTCCTCTGCAGGAAAAAAGTGCTCTCTCTTATCTGGTGACCCATCTCTCCAGCCTTGCTGTATTCCTTCTACTTAAAGTTCATGCTACTTGGAGTATTCTTTTGAGTCGTTTTGTTGGGTTGTTTATGTAGTCAGTGGTAGAGTAGATGCTTAGTAGGGTCAAGATCTGCCTTTGATTACAGATCCAGTCTTTCCCCGACACACAAAAGAGAGTAAAACAAAATTCTCAAAACTGTTGTCTTTTGAAAAATTATACAAAGTCTGGTTTTGAAGCAGCCTGTTCTTAGTTATACAAAAGAAGGTAAGTATTTTGAAGGATTTATATCACATTTTCTAAATATTCATAAGGATATTTTCTTTCAAAATAAGATTACAATTCAGAATATAATAGCTATGTAACAGGATGGAGTTACCCAATCTGAGTATTTTTAAAATGTTTGGAGACTGTTATGACTTGGGGACAAGTGGCTTTCTGTTTTGCTCTCTGGCTCCACCAGGAACCGTTAAACTTTGATGGTATTATAATGCCAGCAGTTTAAGTGTGGAGTGTTCACAGATTGGCCAATTTGTTCTTAATTGAGATGATTATTTAAGAATTCTGAAGTCATTACACATAGTAAATATTGTCAAGTTTCTGCAAGCCTTAAAATTATGAAGGAATCATAGTTTATTTGCCAACTGTACTTCATTATGTCTTAGTTTTAATTAGCATGTAATTTTTAGAAATATATTTTGGAGCATCAGTTCAGCCATTTTGGCTGTTCATTAATTGAGCCTCTTTGACTCCACTTGTGCTTCCTTGAAGGAAGACACGGTATGTAACTGTTAATAATTTAACCTAAAAATTTTAAGGTGGTGTTACTTAGATGGCATGATCTTTGCTGTTGCCTTTGTAGCCAGTGCTGGTCTTGAACTGCAGGTCTGTGAATGACCATACCTAATTAGTACTCTACAGAGGACCATGCCCAGGGCTTCTGCACACCAGGCAAGCCACATCCCCAGATTCCTGTTTGTGTGACCTTTTTGTTGTTGTTTTGTTTTGTTTTGTTTTTTTGGAGATGGAGTCTCTCTACACAGCTCTGGAACTCACCTTGTAGCTCAGGCTGGCCTTGAATTTACACAGATCTGCCTGCCTCCTGAATTCTGGATTAAAGGTGTGGGCCATGTGACTGGCTCTGCCCCACCCCTTCCCCTCTTTACCCCTTTTAAGATTTATTTATTTATTTTTATCTTGTGTGTATGACTGTTTTGTTCACGTACCACTTGTGTGCTGGGCGCCCACACAGTTACAGATGATTGTTAGCTGCCATGTGGGGGGCTGGGATTAGAACCTGGGTCTTCTAGGCACTCTTAATTGCTCAGCCATCCCTCCAGACCCCCATCTTAAGCGGAGTTGATACCATGATACAGATTCCCATCTACTACTTTTCTGAAATACTTGAAACTCTGGTTTCTTTGGTTTTGCATTGACCCCCGTTCAGCACCTCCATCTTTAGTAGCAGCAAGTAAACGGTTTCTGACAGTCTTCTCTCTTGAAATCCCGTGTGGGACAGCTTGGTGTTCCGGCCTTTGGAAGCAAGTGCAGATTTTTCTTTTTTGTTTGTTGTTTTGGAAGAGTGCCATGGAACATTGGAGTTGCTGGTGGCTGGAAAACTTTGAGAATTACAAAATCAGCAGAAAATGGTGTCCTGTTGGTTTGAAAGTCTCGTGCTTCTAAATCAATGATTCCCAATCAAAGAGATGTCTGTTGATCAGAGAATGTCTTAGGCTGTTTTCTAGGCCCTTGCTGCAGAAGGTTTGGTATTTGCTGTTTGAGAAGGATGCTTGCAAACAATGCATATGGATTCCCGAAAAACCTCTTCAGAGTGTGGGCAGGGTCCTGAGCCACTGTGCTCTAACAGTAGACAGATGGTACCGTTTGGAAGGCCACCCTTTAGTGAGGTCTGAAGTGCTCACGCGCCTCAGTCTGGAAAGACTTCCTTATTTAATACTGGATACTTATCCCAACCCCAGTTAGAGCAAAGCACAGAGTAGTCTCTGCTTCAATTCTGTATGAATTAATAGTTAGTGCTTATAATATGTTATGTATTTGAGTTGTCTTGATTGATCCTATCTCCCACCAATCAGGACTGGAGATTTTGGAATCTGCCTGAGAATAGAGCAGGCAGGAACAGTAGTTAATAGGTTCTGGACTTCTGGACAGACTTTCACTGCATCCCTGACCTGAGACAAGAGACTCACAAACGAGGCTACTTCTGGACAGACTTTCACTGCATCCCTGACCTGAGACAAGAGACTCACGAATGAGTTCGACACCCCACCCCAGCGGTACTTCCTTATTCTGCTCCCTTCCTCTTCTGTGCTGCTCTCGCCAGTGTCTCCTATTGCCAGGCAGTGGTGGCGAAAGCCTGGAATCCTAGAGATCCCAGCAGGCCGATCTCTGTGAGTTCAAGGCCAGCCTGCTCTACAGAGTGAGTTCCAGGACAGCCAGAGCTACACAGAGAAACCCTGTCTCGAAAACAACAAAAGAAGACAGTCTTGAAGTTTTCCTTTCTATTTTTTCAGTCTCAAATGTGAGCATTGAGTTTGCACCAGGGCTTTGATTGCCAGTCACAAGGGGAGGAAGAGAAAGCGTGTGTGTCTTCCCTCACCCTCCTCTCCTTTCAGATTTATAATCCGGGAAGTGCAGGCAAATCCAGTTTTCTTTCTTTCTTTCTTTCTTTCTTTCTTTCTTTCTTTCTTTCTTTCTTTCTTTCTTTCTTTCTTTTTTTTTTTCTTTTTTGGTTTGTTTTGTTTTTCGAGACAGGGTTTCTCTGTAGCTTTGGAGCCTATTCTGGCACTCGCTCTGGAGACCAGGAACTCACAGAGATTCTCCTGCCTCTACCTCCCAAATGCTGGGATTAAAGGCGTGCGCCACCAACGCCTGGCTCTCCAGTTTTCTTAAATAAACAGAACCTAAGCATAGATTCCAATGTCTGATACTTAAAAAATGTTTTTATTTGAGGTTTCTAAAGAAGAATTTTAGGATGCTGAGAGGATTCCCGAGGATGCCGTACACTTAGCAGCGAAATACACAGCTGCTTAGCCTGCTGAGATAAATAACAGTTAAATGTTCAGTAATACGACCTATGGCATGTCTTTATTATGAAATAGTTATTGAGAAAACAAAATTGGCTCAAGTAGTTTACCACTGTGCAGTCTACTTTTCTCAGTGAAAAACTCACTAGAAATTGCCACTGTTGCATTCTTTTACAGATTTTCAAAATAAAATCACTTTAGTTAGAACCTGGGAATTATGGCAGCTGACACACATAGCTGCAAGAGAGTGCTGTTTTGCCCTGCAACTTTACTTACTTATTTTTACTTACATCTTCTTGTGTATGTACAATCTGAAGCAAGATTTAACTCTAAAATCTGTGCAATTCAATTAGGCATTACCTTTTAGCATAAAAAGAGTGGGGGAGGGAAAAGACTAGACACAGCCTTCCAAGTTCATCGAGAGATACTGTCTGAATAAAGCAGGATGGGAGGGCTGGAGAGAAGGCCCAGTGATTAAGTGCCTGGTTCTCGAAGAGGACCCAGGTTTGTTCCCCAGTATGCGTGTGGTGGCTCACAGCCTTGTGTAACCCTAGTTCCTAGTGCCGTCTGTCTTATGTTCAGAGAGAGGCACTTCCCTACTGCGAGTGGGTTGTGTGGTCTGGGGGGTGGGGTAAGGGTGCTAGGTTTAGGGTTAGATAGACTTAGTTTTGAACACCACTCATACTCATAAGATTGCTGCAGAGCAGTGGTTCTCAACCTGGGGGTGAAGGTGGTTGGTCACCTAAGACCATGGGAAAACACAGATACGTTCATAACAATAGCAAAATGACAGTTATGAAGTGGGGATGAAAATAGTTTTATGGTTAGGGGTCACCACAATGTGAGGAATGTATTAAAGGGTCAGAGCATTAGGAAGGGTGAGAACCGCTGCTGTAGAGAGGCAGGGAATTCAGAGCTTCTTTTCTGCTTTCTCTCTCTTGCCTGGCACATGGTAGTCACTCATCGAGTAGATCCATGACTTACATAGTAGGAGCTCTTGAGAGCTACTTTAGCCAAATGAGCACTCGGGAGGTAGAGGCAGGTGGATCTCTGAGTTTGAAGCCAGCCTGGTCTACAGAGCTAGTTTCAGGACAGCCAGGGCTACACAGAGAAACCCTGTCCGGAAAACAAACAAAAGAGCCAGTCTAAATTGTATCTAGAAATATTTGAACTTGACCCTCTGTTTATGATAAGGTTTTGCTTTAACTAGCTGCTTGGTTGGGTACCTGTTTAGGTTTAAAAAGAGAATAGTAAATTTAGATTTTTAAAGGTTTTTTTTGTTGTTGTTTTGTAGATGGAAGGCTACTGAAAGCCTTGATTATACACGGACCTAATTTTTTATTTGTTATGAAGCTTCTCATAGCTTAATGTGTTGTTGTTACTGCTATTAAATCATTGTTTTATTTGCTGTAACAAGATGAATTAGCCATATATATATGTGTATATATATTCAGACTATAATTACAGTATAATTTAATACTATAATAGTAATAATAGTAATAATTTAGAAACATGATGTGATCTCAGATTTCACACATGTGGCTGTCCTTTAATTGTGTGTAGTGAACTGTTGTTTTGCTAGATACATGCTTAGCTTAGTCACTGCCACTTAACTCTTAGACAGAGTAAACTTAGTTGAGAGTAAGGTAACATGCTTGTCACATTGTAACACTATTCTGACAACATACACATGTAAGTATCTGGGATCATAACTGGATTGTGGTAAATGGCTATTTTGTTCAACATTCATCTGCTCCTTATGTTTGTGCTTTAATTAAATTTTTCAGTTTTTGTTAAAATTTAAAGGCTTTTATTAAAAATTAATTTCTGTGAAAGTAAAAGAATGCTACTTTGTGCTTTCTCATGACTTCTGGCCCTTTTAATAATGAGTTGAATATTACTCAGATATCAACTGAGAACATAGTGGTATATAAAAAAGTGTTCTTCAGAAACTTTCTATAAGTTAGATATTTTGCGTTGGGTGAGACTTGAGCACTGTTGTATTAGCCTGGTCTACAAGAACTAGTTCTAGGACAGCCTCAAAAGCCACAGAGAAACCCTGTCCTGAAAAACCAAAAAAAAAAAAAAAGCAGTGTTAGCTTGTTTTTTTTCCCTTAGAATTTTGTAACACTTGTATAACCACTTGAATTTCTAATTGAAACTATATTTCAGTGGAAAAGAATGAATGTTTTTGTGATTTGACTTTGATCTGTGAATATAATTAGTGTCACTTCTATTGTAAACATTAAGTAGCTGGTCCAAAGTGACATGTCTTTCCTGCTCTCGGGACATTATCTTGTTCTCTCGTTTCTCCTTTGAAGCAGACTTACTTGGGAGTGACTGTGGGCCTCCACTGAAGGAAAGGGACCCTGAAGATGTAAAGGATAACGCTGGGTTTAGAGGTCGCCATCTCCTTAACAGCATCACTGTTTCAAAGAAACGCAATTGGCTGTATCAGAGCACCCTGAGGTCGCAGAGTCTGGACCAGAGTAAGCAGTGCCAAGATGGAAGTAATTTCTCCCTCTCCCCGGTGTCTCCGCCCAGACACAGGCAGTCTCCGCCTGTCTCTAAGTCCCCCGAGGAACACTGCACACATTCGATGTGTAATGCTGCCAGCCCTCCCTTATCAGGAAGCCGCTCTTTAGACTTCAGTGAGGACACCGATGCTGATGATGAAGGAGAAATATGGTACAATCCTATCCCTGAGGAAGACGAGCTTGGTGTAGCAAGTGTCTTGCGTCTTGAGGAGGGAAACGCTGCCACAGGGAGGCTCCCTGCTCTCAGTGTGAGCATGTTCTCTGCTAGAGACCTGAGGAAGGCTGAGCCTCGTGGAGAAGAGTTGCTGTGTCCTGCCCAGCACACAGGTGATATCCAGATCATACAGTCAAATGGAATTATTTCTGAAGCTTCCATCCATTCTACAGAAGCTGTGCAACAGTGCAAGCAAAGGTTAGGACACAGGACACAAGGCATGATGGCAGAGGACATCCCCTTGTTGAAATCTGCTTTTACAGGTAAAAATGATTGCACACCTTTTTAAGTCTGATAGTTCCCAAACTAAACATAGATGATGTTGGCTGTATGTGTGTTATACTTTGTCCTTATAAAGGGAAGACGTTTCGGGTAGCCATGGCTCAGCATTAATAGTGCTCGCTGCTCTGGTGGAGGAGCTGAGTTGGGTCCCAGCATCCTCGTCAGTTTGCTCACAATCACAGCCACCTCTAGTTCCAGCTCCTAGAGGACCCAGCTCCTCTAGCTTGGCACAACATATACCATGCGTATTGGTGTATATTTATGCATTGTTCTTTTTACACTTCGTGTAGCTGTTTTGTGATTTGTTTGGTGGGGTAATTCCGGTTTCAGTGACAATAGAACTTTGTAGTAGTTCAACTCTTAAATTTTAAAAGGCAAAGCAATTTGTGTGTGTGTGCGTGTGCTCGAGAGTGTGTATCAGGGACAACCTTGGGTATCTGTCCTCAACTCCCACCTTGTTTGAGGTAGGAAGTCTCTTCGTTGTTTACCTCTGCATGTGCCAGACTGCCTGTCTTCACCTCCCGGCTCGCCTGTCTTCACCTCCGGCTTGCTCTAGCACATTGATCACTGACACACACGTGCACCTGGGATTCAAACTCAGGCTCTTGTGTTTATGCAGAGGGCACTAAATCACTGAGCCCACTCTGTAGCACCACATTTTTGTTTTAATAAATTCCCTCTCATCTGCATAGGGTCTCTAACATATAAAATGTTTCATTTTTAACAATTAAGGTAGGAACTGCTTATTAAAGGTTTATAAAAAGAAATCAGTTTATTAAATTCCTTACTAATGTAGGAACACCCAGAGCAGTTTAATACATTGAGCAGCCTTTCTGTAACAGACTAGGTTAGTGTTAGATAAGCAGGACCCTGATGCCTGCAGCGTGTTCTAGACCAGTGAGCCGGTAGGACTTTGGTGATTGGCAGTATAACACGGTATGCAAGCTCTCCATTCCTTACTAGCTGTTTACCAGAAAAGCCCAGTATGCCTACTTAAAACAGTCCTCTTTCTGTAGAAAGACAGTGCTGGTCATCAGGATACAGGGATGGGCGTTAACGATTTTAAAGAAGGGTCATTCAAATCTACTAATTCTACTCATTAATCCGGAAATAGTTTTGCTGAGATTATATTCTGGCATTAAGGCTATTAGATCTTTACCTAAAGGAGCAGACAAAGTCTGGAAATTGAATATGAAGTAAGTGGGATGATGTTTAATTGGGGGGGGGCATGTTTTTCAAGACAGGGTCTCTCTGTGTAGACCAGGCTGACCTCAGAAACCCACCTGCCTTTATCTCCCGAGTCAGAAGTTTAGCTGGATGTAGAATATCCTAATAGACTTTTAGAACAAAGAAGGCCTCTCCTCTGCCCAATTACAGCCTTCCTTGGTTTTTCACTGTTTTTTAAAATCAGCGCTGCTCAGTGTGACACTGGACTTTAGAGGGTGTAAGTGCAAGAGTGGCATGTGGGTTAGAGTTGTGTTTCTAGTTGGATGTTCTGAGATGGAGGCTTGTCCAGTTCCTCCAGAACGTGAGTGGTCATTTAAGGGTCTGCACTCCCTGGAATGTACTGTAGAGGGAAACGTCAACAGGGAGCCTGCGACCCTGCACACGTGACAACCGGCCTGCCTATGAAGTAGGAATAAGAGGCTGGTACACTCTCTTTATAGTATTCTTCTTTCTTCTTTTTAAGGTCCTGGGATCTTCGTTTCTGCAAACAGGACTGAGCTGAGAGCTATGGAACCGTCTTCTCCAAGCCCGAGCCCTGTGAAGAAAGGCAGTTCAATTACTTGGTCTTTGCCAGACAAAATAAAATCTCCACGCACTGTGAGGAAACTTTCCATGAAAATGAAAAGGTTGCCAGAATTCAGCCGAAAGCTGGGTGCCAGGGGAACCTCGCAGTATGTGAACAGTCCAGAGAGTACTTTGTCTAAATGTGACTGTCGAGAACTGCCTCATAGTGTTACTCTGTCCTCTGGAAACCCAACCAGGAACGTTATAAGCCGGTACCATCTCGATAGCACTGTATCGTCCCAGCACAATTACCAGAAGAGAGCCACTGGGAGCTCAAAGTATTCCTGCAAGGGTGGTTACCTCAGTGATGGAGACTCACCCGAACTCAGAACCAAATCTAGCAAGCATGGATCAGAGCACAAACTTGGAAAAGGGAGAGAAGCCATTCCAAACAGTTGTAGCAAAAATGAACTAGATATAGATGCCTTTAGACATTACAGCTTTGCTGACCAACCCAAGTGCTCCCAGTACATATCAGGGCTCATGAGTGTGCACTTTTATGGCGCAGAGGGTTTAAAGCCGCAAGGGTGGTTACCTCAGTGATGGAGACTCACCCGAACTCAGAACCAAATCTAGCAAGCATGGATCAGAGCACAAACTTGGAAAAGGGAGAGAAGCCATTCCAAACAGTTGTAGCAAAAATGAACTAGATATAGATGCCTTTAGACATTACAGCTTTGCTGACCAACCCAAGTGCTCACAGTACATCTCAGGGCTCATGAGTGTGCACTTCTATGGCGCAGAGGGTTTAAAGCCACCCCGGATAGATTCCAAAGATGTCTTTTGTGCAATTCAGGTAGACTCAGTAAACAAAGCCAGAACAGCTTTGCTCACCTGTCGGACGACGTTTTTAGACATGGACCACACTTTCAACATAGAGATTGAAAACGCTCAGCATTTGAAACTGGTGGTGTTTAGTTGGGAGCCCTCTCCAAGGAGAAACCGAGTGTGCTGCCATGGCACCATTGTCCTGCCTGCTTTATTCCGAGTGACAAAGACACATCAGCTGGCTGTCAAACTTGAACCCAGAGGCCTTATTTATGTCAAGGTGACCCTCATGGAGCAGTGGGAGAATTCTCTCCATGGCCTGGATAAAAGCCGTGAATCAGTCATGTTTGGTGTTGACATTCAGAAAGTCGTAGAGAAAGAAAACGTGGGCTCCATGGTGCCACTGTTGATCCAGAAATGCATCGTGGAGATTGAAAGGAGGGGCTGCCAGGTATTTCAGTGTGTCCCTACTTCTCCTTTATTAGTTGATGGTTAGGTTTGAGAAAAGGGATTCAAGGTAAGGTTGAAAAAAAAAAAAAGATTTAGATATTTCCCCAACCCTGCTATATTTGTATTACATTATTTTTGGAGTGTGTATCATATCTTAGCTTTTGTCCCCGTGATTTGAGAGCCTGCTAGATGGTTCCACAGTTTATGTCCTGAAACAGAACTGCATGGGCTTGAGGACTGCAGGAGACTAGATTTCTTTACAATGACTTGTCTAGAAAAGCTGGTAACACAGAGAGGCTCCGTCTCTTGGTACACATTTTTGCGTGTGTGTCCGGGGTGGTTCCAACAGTGGCTCACAGGGTCTGACTTCACACCTCATCCTTATTCTGTCAGTTCCCGCTTCAGAATCCATACTTACCTCGCTCTTTACTCTGGGGCCGCATGGGAGGTGAGGAGAGCTCCTATTGATCAGAACACATGTCCATGTTTTGTTTTGTTTTTTAGATTTTATTATTTGTGTGTATAGGTACTAGGCCTGCGTGGTGTGTGCCTGGATCCCATGGAGGCCTGAGGACAGTGTTGGAATGCCCTGGAACTAGATTTACAGACAATTTTGAGTGGCCCTGTGGGTGCTAGGAATCGAACTAAGCTCCTCTGGAAGAGCAGCCAGTGGTTCTTAACCGCAGAAACATCTTTCCTTGCTTCTAAAAGGCAAAGGCAACCTATAGAAAAACATTATTTTGTAACACAGTTTGAAAATGGCAGGCAGAAGTGTAGGGTGTGTAAACATTCTGAAAGATCTTCAGCTCACAGAAACATCTTTCCTTGCTTCTAAAAGGCAAAGGCAACCTATAGAAAAACCATTATTTTGTAACACAGTTTGAAAATGGTAGGCAGAAGTGTAGGGTGTGTAAACATTCTGAAAGATCTTCAGCTCAGACACACGATTCTGTCTGGTTTATGTTGTCTCTTTGGGGCAAGTCCTTTGCATTACAGCCCAGCTTCCAGCCAGCTACATTTTATTCATGAGGTTTTCCATTTCCTCTTCTGTGCCCACCCCACCTTGTGGAGCAGCTCAGGGATTAGGTAGACTTTAAAGTTAATCATTAAATGGAAACTTTTCAATTTAAAATCAGGAGCTCAAGCAATGCTACATATTAGTTTATTTTCTAAAAGGTGCATAAAACAGATGTGTAAAGGCTGCTGATTTTGCCGGGTGATGGTGGCACATGCCTTTAATCCTTGGAGGCAGAGGCTGGTGGCTCCCTTGAGTTAAAGGCCTGCATGGTCTACAGAGTGAGTTCCAGGACAGCCAGGGCTGTTAAGCAGAGGGAAACCCCGCCTCAAAAAAAAAAAAAAAACAAACAAACAAACAAACAAAACCCAAAGACTTCTGTTTTTAGCAGTGATTCTTATTTGTTTAGAAAGTTTTGTTTTCAGAAAGATCTCCTGGACTAGGGAGATGGCTCAGCAGGTAAAGGCTGTTGACCTGATTTGATCAACATGGGACCCACACAGAAGGAGAACATGAACCTGTGACCTTCACATGTGGGCCATGGCACAGTGGTGCACACTCAGAACAGATAGCCATGTGATTGTAATACAAAATAAAGATTTTCTGTGGCCTAAAAGCTTTCAACAGTGCACTTGGAATTGTATGTTGTTTTTAAATCATAACACTGGTCCTTAACTCTTCATCTTTCAAAGTACTGACATTGCAGGCTTTGTATTTTGGGATGCTGGAGAGATGGCTCAGTGTTGAGTTCATGCTGCTCCTCCAGCAAACTCAGGTTCTTTTCCCAGCATACATGTCTGGCAGCTTGTCTTTCTCTGTAATTCTAGCTGCAGGGGAACTGACAGTTCTGGACCTGTAATCATGTACACAACACACAACACACACACACGCACAAGCGCGCGCGCACACACACACAGCGCACACACACACGCACGCACGCACGCACACACACACACACACACACACACACACACACACACACACACGATCCTGGATTTGATTCCCAGCAACTAAATGGCGGCTCACAACTAGCCGTAACTTCATTTCCAGGAGACTTAACACCCTTCCCAGCCTCTGTGGGCACCAGGCATTTACATAGTGCACAGACATGCACAGACGTGCAAATGCCTATACACATAATAAAATAATGAAAAAATCATTTTAGAAAGTTGCATATTTTTAAGAAGGATTTGTTTTGAGTCCTTCCCTTCTCTCCCATCTAAGAGACCAAGTGGAAAGAGGCCTATTAAATCTGTACTGTCACACATTGTCACCACCTAAGTTTTGTTTGTCCCTCTGTTACTGTTTTTGCTTTTTCACTGTGCAAACCGCTTGAGATTCGTGTACAAAGAGGGCGTGGCAGGGACATGTGCTTCCTGTAGATGCTCTGGACAGTGCTGCTTCTGCTTCCGGTGGGAAAGCTCACACTAGAGGTTACACTCATGGCCCATGCATGGCAGCTTCCGTGTGTTTGTGACTCAGCCTCTGAACTGAGGGCTGTATCATAAATGTCCTTTCTTTGATGTACAAGTCAGATCTTCACTTCTTCATCCTTTAAAAATCTGTGTTTGTAATTTGAACTTTTTTGGGATAAAATGTTTGATCAACTTATTGTCTACTGTCTTAAATAGTACTTTGTTCTGCTTTAGGTTTATTTCATCTTCAAGTTCAAAAGTATAAATCTTTATTTTTTAATTTATTTTTAATAAATGTTACAGGATTTTATTATATGTAAATGGATCTTTATCAAAAAGGCTGTAATACAGTTGGTTTCTTCTACTATGGAAGCATTTCCCTTGATCCTGTTTAACATTTGGGCTTTATTTTCTTTGTCCTGTACATTTTAAAAATATAGCTTAGCCTGAAATATCAAACTTAATCTTACCTTTGGGTTTCTCCCAGACAGTGGATTCTGTTTGCTAGTCAGGACCATGACAGAGAGGTGGCTTCTCCAGGTTTTACATCTGCCAGCTGACTGGATTTTCTTTTTTAATATTACCAATTTATTTTATGTGCATGCTGTTTTGCCTGCATGTGTGTCTATGCACCATGCGTGTGCAGTTCTCCGTGTTTTCACAGTGTTTCTTGAGGTGATATGGTAGCCCTAACATGCTGTTCTCAGTGTCGACAGTTATGACTTGACATTCCTTGACTTCCCTTGTGTGTTATTGATTCTTTTGCAGGTGGGAGCATTTCACATGAATGTTTATTTCTTTGAAGCAGATTCTTTGCCCATGTTTCAGTTAGTTCAGCTAGTCGTCTGAGTTCTTTGGACACCATCTGTCCATGTTGTTGGGGATGCTTTCCTGGATCAAATCCACCTCACTGCTGTTGTCTTTCAGCTAGTTAATGATTCAGAAGAGAGCCTGGGTATTTCATCTGACTTCCTCATCTTCTAGCTCACTTAAAATACTCTGCGTATCCCTAATTCAAGCTTTGGAGGATCATTCATGTTTCGTCGTTGTGAAATAGTTTTCTGTAACTGTTACTTCAACTCAGGTGGCTGCTTCCTAAATAGCCTTTTGATTTCAAAGTATAGGTGACACAATCCCTTATTCTCCTTAAATTCCCTCCCTCCCTCCCTCCCTCTCCCTCCCTCCCTCCCTCCCTTCCCTCCCTCCTTCCTTCTTGTTTTCCAAGACAGTCTCTTGTAGTCCAGGCTGGCTTTGAATTTACTATTCAGCTAAGACTGATCTTGAATTCCTGGTCCTCCTATAATTCCACCTCCCAAGAGCTGGGGCTACAGACATGTGCGCCATCACACCAGGTATTTTATGGTGCTGAGGATGGTGCCCAGGGCATTATGTTAGCTGGACACCACCCCCACCTCCATTTCCTTAGATTACTTGAAGTTTAGTCTTTCAAAAGAATCTAGTAGGTTAGTCAGAGATTTACTTATTTATTTTAGGGGAACCAGGTTGGCTTTCTTTCCTGGGTGTGTGTTGAACTTGTGAAGACTTAATTAGAAGAGCTGGCAGTGTTTATATGACAAGCATTCTTGTAGGTCCTGGAGTAAGCAGTGTCTATGTAACTATTGTATGACTTTTAAAATAGACTTTACCTTTTTAAAATTTTGTTTTACTACCTATTTTTTACCTAAAATAGACTTTATTTTTTTTCCCATCACTGTATAATCAATTGATGTGAGATTCCAGAAGCTGCATTTGGGTGTTAAAATGAATTTAGGGTATTTTCGATTGCCAATTCCAGAAGCTGCATTTGGGTGTTAAAATGAATTTAGGGTATTTGCGATTGCCAATTCCAGAAGCTGCATTTGGGTGTTACAATGAATTAGGGTATTTGCGATTGCCAAGTTCATGTGATTTATACCATTGCCTTCATTACCGTCTCCATAACATGGCGTTTTGTTTCCAGGTTGTAGGCCTGTATCGATTGTGTGGTTCAGCAGCTGTCAAGAAAGAGCTTCGAGAGGCTTTTGAGAAGGATAGCAAAACTGTTGGTCTGTGTGAAAGCCAGTACCCAGATATAAATGTAATAACAGGTAAACATAGACTTTATTATGTTCATTCTGGAAAGGCTACCCCAGAAGGAAGGAAATGGAAATCCGCTTTTATAACCCGAGCTTGATTTGATTTTCTCCTGAAGTCTTACTTTCCTTCCTCCATGAACTACTGAGTGTTATTTTCTGAGGGGAGATATTAAGATTGGCTCCATTCTTAGACAGCCAGTGATGGGAGCAGTGAGACCTGGACTAAGTCCACTACAGCAGACCCGTGTCTTCAAGGAGAGAACTAAAATGCCCCAGGAGTCCAATTTGACTGGCGCTTAAGTGATTGACGGAAAGGAAATGGCTTGTCTGATGAGAGAATTTAGATTATTTAACAGGCAGAGGGGCTCCCTTAAAGAATTTCGAGTAGGGGAGTGGGGTCACTAAAGACTGTTTTGTGGGAATGTTAATCTGCAACTGTGTGTGGTGAATTGAAGAGAAGAAAGTCCGGGAACCATGACAGTCGCCAAGAATCACTGTGATGAGACTGAAGCCCATACATCCTGTCCACAGAAATAGACAGGTGGGAGCAGGGATACTATTTTAGCTGCAGACATGTTGGGAAAGATTAAACATTGAGTTTTTCAAGTAGGAGATGTGAGTGAAGAGATCCCGTGGACTGGAAAGGCCCCAGCTGCTGCTGAGGAAAAGCTGTAGTGGGCATTGAGGTGTTCCTTTCCCCTCCCGAGACAAGGTCTCGTTAGGTAACTCAAGTGGGCCTCAAATGTGCTATCCTCTGACCTCACCCTTCCATGTGTTGGGGTTATGGGTCAGGGCCACCTTGCCCAGCATGAGAAGTCTTCTTTACCCCAGTAGTGACTACAGCCCAGTGCATAGCATTGCAAACGAGCAGTGGTGAGGCATTGAAAAATGGGAACTTGAGAGTAACTTGCATAGGAAATTGTCCATAACAGTTTAACAAGACAAGAACTTGGGCAGTCTCTAAACTTTGGAGGCAGGCAAAGAAGGAAGACAGAGAATTTGGGAAACCAGAGCCAGCAGAGGTTATGGATGTTGTGAGCCAGGAGAGGTTATGGATGGTGTGAGCCAGGAGAGGTTACAGACAGTGAGAGCCAGTGTGTGAGGCAGCACTGTTGTGTGGAGGGGGCATCCAAGGGGAGAAGGGAAAGGCGTTTGAATTAGAGATTGCTCCTGACCTTGCCGATAATCTTCTGGGTCTGTTTTGTCACCTACAATTTCCTGTGGCTTTACTTTTTAATTACTAAAGTTTTGGAGCCAGTGTAGAGGTACATCCGTTCCATTCACCTGGTTTTCATAAATCACATCTTGTGGCCAGACTTGTCTTCTCTCCCCTGTATTTGATCCTCTCCAGCCCAGGATTCTTAAGGAGCAAACCCCAGACATCAAACCCTTTCTCCATAGACGCCTCAGCGATTCCTCTGCCTTCAGTGTGGTTGGCTAGCTTTGTTTTCTGTGCTCTATTGTTTATCGTTTTCTTGATGTATTGATATCTACCTCTCCTGATTTGTTTTCTTATTTTATACGTGATTACTTTTAGGTAGGAATTTAAGGAAAATCACTTACTACATACTGATATTATACCTTGAAGTTTACTTTTAGGATTGCAGCTTTAGAAATAGCTAAAGTTCCTATATAAGCCAAGGTGCCGAATGGCTTATATAGAAACTTTTATAGTGTGTTTCCTATCATCTTGAATAATGTAACTTTGACTTAAAGCAGTTCACTAGTGATAGAAGTAAATACCAAGGTATTTTCCCTTTCTTATGAATAGTTCCTTTATTTACTTTCTTTTGAAACTTTAAAAAAAAATTTATTTTACGTGCATTGGTATTTTGCCTACATGTGTGTTTGTGTGAGGGTGTTGGATCCTCTGGAGCTGGAGTTACAGTTTTGAGTTGCCATGTGTGTGCTAGGATGTGGTGATATATTGTTTATGATCTAGTAAAGCCACTGGGGATCAAAATGCAAAGCCAGCCACAACTGTAGAGCCAGGCAGTGGTGACACACACCTTTAATTCCACCAGCCACACTAGTTAGCTATAGAAGCTGGGCAGTGGTGGCACACACCTTTCATTCCAGGACTCAGGAGACAAAGGCAGATGGATCTCTGTGAGTCAAGGCCACAGAGTGATCCAGTCTACATTAGAGTGATCTAGTCTAAAAGAGAAACAGCTCACACAAAGGAGCTTGGGATCCCACGCCTTTAATCCTAGCTCTAGAGAGGTATATAAGATAGGATCGGGGCATTCAGTAGTCATTCACAGAGATTTATTCTTCAGCTATGCTGAGCTGAGGACAGGACAGCCCTTTCAGCCTGAGGTAGAGGTAAGGCCTAGTGGCTGGCTGCTTTGCTTCTCTGATCTTCAGCTTGAACCCCAATATCTGCCTCTGGGTTTTTATTATTCATGTTATACTAGGAGTCCTCTGGAAGAACAGCTAGTGCACCTAATCTCTGAGCTATCTCTCCAACCCCTCATTTTATTTTTTGAGCTGGCTTGGAGCTTCCTGTGGAGATCATGCTGGCTTCAAACTCACAGAGATCATCCCACTTTCCCCTCCCATACACCAACGTACCTGGCTCAGATAAATTTTTAACAAATCAGAAACTAAGTTTTTGGTAAAGAGAGGCTTATTACTTAAAAGAAAAAAATGAGATACCATATAATTTGTAAAATGAGCAAAGGATTCACTTTAAGAATTCATTAAAGGAAAAGCTTATAGATAACTATTTCTGGGAAAGTATAAACAAAAGAAAACTTTTGTCTCAGTGAAGCCTTAGCTTAGGAATAAGAGTGTTTAGAGATGGAAGGTGTGATTTGAGAGGTCTGTTTTGTTTAAGAAGGGGATCCTTGGGTTTGGATACTTGCAATGTTTGTAGCCGTGAACATAGGTTAGTGAGGGTCTGGTTTGTAGCATTCTTTTCTAAATAGGAGAGTCTAAAGCCACAAACTACATGGTCCTTGCCTCTGTTATTTGCACTGTTCCATTTCAGTTAAGCTATTTTTCAAAGGAATTTGGAGCTGTTTTCTTTCTTGATTAAAAATACAAAAAAAAAAACAAAAAACAATGAAATGATTTGTCTGAGAAATAGCACAGGAATTGGGATAAATTACACACATGGCCACCGTGCCTCCAAACCGAGAATGCTGTGGGTTTGGGAATTGGCCAGTGATGAAGTTGTCTCCTGTTTATTCTGCATGAACTCATATTTCTTCATAAACTTGGGGAAATAATAGCTAAGTGAGTCTGAACACAAGTGTTCAGCGAGTGTTGCTGTGTGCTCAGAAGTTAACGTGTGTTTAGTAGTCTTTAAGTCTGGAACAGAATGACTCCAGACAAAGCGATTTTAGAACAGGTCCAGAATTTCATCAGTGAAGTCAATCTACTGAAAGCTTTGATACCTTGTTTCTGGTTATATTTTCCATCATTTTAAATGACTTTAGCATGCAAACAACAAGTTTAGAATACTAGATTCGTAGTTTTTCTGTTATTCCAAGTGGCTTGTTTATTGAGTGTCAAATTTACAATCCTGCATTAGCCTTCCAAGTACTAGGTAGGATTACGTGTGTGCCACCTGTCCCAGTGCCAGGCGACCTCTACATCAGCGCAACTCCAGTGACCCACTCCTAAGCTCTGACCTGGTTTTTGTCATCCAGAAACCATTTTTCTCCCGTTAAGTCAGTCTCCTTTAATTTACATGTGCTTGCTGCTTCCTCCTGAGTCCCCACTGTTATGATACTCCTTTCTGTGGGTCATTATTTCAGTTACTCCATCAAATGTCCCCGGTGTCCTTCCATGGCCTCTTTGTGTTTCTCCCATCTGGCAAAGTTTCCACCCCAGTAGTTAGTCTTACGTAACAGCTTTATTGAGGCATTGTTGCCATAAGATGAAATAAAGTGCGTGTATTGAAGTATGCAACTGGGCGTTTTCACATGTGTGTGCACCATGGAACCATAGCCACAATGAGCATTAAGGATGCAGGTGTCCCCTTACCGCCTTCTTAGTCTCTCTTGCCTGCGCCATCACCACTGTTGCTCCCATCCTTAGGCAGCCGTAGATCCTTCTGTTGCTATAAGTCCATCTCATTTTCTATAAGTTATATAATAGAACCGTACAGGAGGGACTTTTCCTTTTTATAAGCAAATGGAAGTAAATACATAGTTTTGTTTACTAGCAAAATTATTTTGAAATCCCCCCATGTTATTCCAAGTGTCCGTGGCCTGTTTCTTTTTTAATGCCAGTGCTCCACACTATGGATATAGTGGACATAATGCCACTGTTGCATCCATTGGCCTCTAGGCCACTGTTTCCTTGTATCCAGTTGGGGGTTGTTACAGATAAAGCTGCTGTGAACATTCATGCACAAGTTGTAATCCTATATGTGTGTCTGGTGATGCCAGATCCACACTGTCTTAATTGTTTAAGTTGTTCAATGAGACTTGGATTTTCTGGTACTGTTATGGTTTAGATTGGTGATATCCTTTGAGACAAAGTGTTCAAGGATGGAGCTTGAGGGCCATGATCGAGTCACGAGGGCTTTGGCTCTGTCAATGGATTAACCCATTGGTGGACTTATAATTTGATACCATTATTGGGAAGATGGAAAGCCTGGCCTGCTTGAAGGAACTATGTCACTATAACCTTCAAGGTTGCTCCTTGTCCCTAGTCTTTCTGATGCTCTCAGTGTCCCAACAGCTATAAGGTAGTAGCTCTCCTTATCCATGCCCCTCTGTTGTGTTTCTGCTTCACCACAGGCCTAGCCATGGAGTCAGCCATGAACTGAACCTCCAAAATCATGAGCCAAATTAAACTCTTCTTTAAAACACTACTTTTCTTGGGTCAGGTGAATCTCTGTGAGTTCGAGGCCAGTCTGATCTGCACATTAAGTTTCAGGACAGCCGGGGAAATGTAAGAGACTCAGTGAACAAAACAAAAACAATAACAGAAAGTCACCTGTCTCAGATATTTTGTCAGTGCTAGAAAACTAACATGAGCTCTGCATTTCCAGCCTCGCTACTTTGCTCTTTCTTTTTGCTATCATAGGTCCTTTGTATTCCATATAACTTTACAAGAATCACTTGTGGATAAATAATTGCCTCCTGAAAACCTAGGTTCATTTGCGGTCCTTAGTACTGTCCCTGCTGTGGGGGTTGGGGGCAGGATGAGGGGGTCAGGGGAGTGAAGTGTGGGGGGGGGGCAAAAGGAGGGGGTGGGGAAGTGGGGATATGAGGGGAATTCAGTATGGGGTGGGAAAGCTTATTGAGCTTTTGATTACCATTACAGTATCAATTTGAGAAGAATTGACATTTTAACATTAAGCCATCTAGTCTCCTTCAGGGTTGTGTTTAATTTCTCTCAGGAGTTTACTGTCCTTTACAATGTGTTGTTTTAAAAACACATTTTATTCTGTTTATTCCTAAATACTGGTGTCTCATTTATTTATTGGTCTTTTTTTACCGTTTGCCTCAGAGGAATATTGACTCAGAACTTTTGCCCCTTTTAGATGCTTGCCCTTATTGTTAGACTGAAGTTTTCTTTGTGTATTCTGGTTCAGGTCCTTAATCTAATAAATGTTATACTAATTTTTTGTATGCTCCCCTCTCATTGTGTGGATTGTATTTTTACTCTTTTGATGGTGTCCTTTGAAACAAACAAACAAAAAAATCTGTTAGTGTTGATAATTCTAACTTTTTTTTTTCCAGTTAAAACTTTGGCTGTTGTATGTGAGGCTTTGTTCACCCTAAGCTTGTGAGAATATTCGTCATTTTCTTCTGAGAGTTTCATGATTTAAATTTACCCCTTACATTTAGATCTGTTACTCACTTTAAAGTGTGGCGCATTTTGTAAGGGGTGTTTTAGTCTTTAGCAAGTGGGTATCTGCTTGTTCTGGCTTCCTTTGTTTTTTTCCCTACTGCACTGACTGTGTTTTTGTTTTTGTTTTTAGTTTATTTTGTCTTGTGTATTAGTGGTTTGCTTGCACGTGTGCATGTGTGCTTTTGCTTGCATGGTTCCTACTGAGGTTAGAGGAGGCAGCTGGAGTCCCTGCAGCTAGGTGCTGGGAGCTACCACGTGGGTACCGGGAACTGAACCCTGGGCCTCTGCACGAGCAGCAAGTGCTTGGTGACCACTGAGCCATCTCTCCAGTTCCCCCAACGATGACGATAAGCTCTTCCTCACTACTCTGTCGAGCTGTGCTGTGTCAGCAAGACTTGAAATCGTCAGCTTTTAGTCCCCACATTTTCCTTTCCACGATCTTTAGGCTGTTTGAATTTAGGATCAGTTTATAAGTTTCTGTGACAAAGCTAGCTGGATTTTGTTTATTTATTTGGTGATAATGGGGATCAAATCCAAGGCTTGAAGATGCTAGGCAAACACTCTACCACTGAGTTATGCCCCTTGCTCCTAGCTGGGATTCTGTTGGGATCTGCGTTGATTCTTAAAGAGCTCCTTTTTTTTTTTTTTTTTTTAAAGAAAAATTGTTAGTTTTCTGAGTAAAATTTTGTACTTGTTTTGTTCCTCCACATATTTAATTCTTTTTGGTGCTAATGTGTTGGGATTAATTCTCTTTCTCCCTCTCCCCCTCTCCCTCTCCCTCTCTCTCTCCCTCTCTCTGTCTCTCTGTCTCGCTCTCTCTCTCTCTTTTCCACTTGCCCTTTTCTTCCCACTCTGCTCTGTGCTCCACCCCTTGTTGTCCAGTGTCTACAGATGTCTTCCTCTCCTCATGGGTCACCATGTTACTCACTGATGCCCTTGCCTCCTCACACCATGGAGATGGAGGCCGTCAGGTGGGAGGGTGCGTCTGCTGTGACCGCTCTCTGTTGGTGACTCTTCCCATCCTCCCACACTCCTGACTGTTGCATACAATCGTCCTGACTTCTAGAACTGATCCCATCCCTTCCCGTTTTCTCAGGAGTCTCTGCTTTCTTCTCTGGGGACATCCCCAGTTGGGTACAGTCCCTCTCTCCTGGGTCTCTGCTGTCTTTCATTCCCATTCATCTTACCAGCCGCCTGGCACTGTCCTTTACCGCTGGCAACTGCCTGCCAAGGCAGCCGATTTCCTTTTCTTTTCTTCTTTTGGTCCTTATCTCTAATTGCCTCTAGGTCATTGTCTCCTAGACCTAGCCACAAAAAACCCAATGCCATAGACTCCAAAGAGCAATTTGTTTATAAAGACAGGGGCTCAGAGCTTGGCAGGAGCTCATAAGCGCTGGTGCTCGGACGGACTGCTCTCCATGGCGTTTATGGCCATTCCTATCTAACTCGTTCTGACTGTGTGTCATTTGATGCCTCAGAACCTGTCGTGAAGCAGCTTTGCTCTGTCCTTCTTGGCAGCACGAGTCTTTCTACTCATCCCCGACACACCTTTTCTAACCACAGGGGTCTTTTGTCACTCTTCCTTAGCTGGCTTTGAGAGAGCTTATTATTATCATGGGGTTATTTCCCAGTCATCTTTTGACCTTGTTTTTTGCTTCCCGACACACACTGGAATTTGCTGTGTAACAGAAGATGACCTTGAACTTGAGATCCTTATATCTCCTGAGTCCCAGTCATCTTAAGTTGCTCATTCTCAGGGCCAGCTCTTTGGTCATGTCTTCCTAAGCCTCCTAAGTTTTGGACGGAGCAAACTTAGCATGTCCCATAGACATGCTTCCTGCCTGATAAACTGGTTTCTTCTTCTGACTGTTTCAAGCAGTGTCACTAAGACTCACTTGGATGGTAAAACCCTAGACCTGGCGAAGAAGCAGGTTCACACTTCCTCTTTGCTGCTGAGTTACAAATGCTTTTTAAAACCAACTTACTGTCGGTCGTATTCTTCAGGCTTCTCTTAACTTTATGGTGACAGGCCTGATGCCTTCTGTTTTTGACTTCTGTTTTACTTTGCTTGGTATTAGGAATGTTTTTTTTTTTTTTTCTTTTGTATGACAGCGTAGCCTTAGAGACAGTTGATCTAGTAATTGTTTAAGGTACATGTTCAGCACTAGAGAGGAGAAACGTTGATGGCCCCTGATGATTCACAAAGGCTTTGAACAAGTTGGTATCCTTTCAATATCCATTAAAAGTTTAGAAGTTCAAAATTTGGATAGTTGAATAGCTTACAACCAACATTTGTAGGTCTTACTTTCTAACTTCTTGCATGTGCGGTATCTCGTCATGGAGGCAGAGTCAGTAGGGCTTATATAGCAAGAACATCTTTCATCATGACATAACAAAACTATGGAAATTATGTCTGCATTTTAGCATGTTCCAAACAGAGTTACTGAGGAAACTTACATGAATAAAAATCGCCAGGGTTTTGTGATAATATTTTTTTTATGTTGTTGTTTGTATTGTTTTCAGAAGGTCAAAAGTTGACTGCCGTAGAGTTCACTGTGCTTACTTCTTTGTGGAGACCCATCGCTGCTCTCTGGTCTATTTTTGCAGGAGTTCTTAAAGACTATCTAAGAGAACTTCCTTCTCCACTGATAACAAAGCAGCTGTATGAGGCCGTGTTAGATGCGATGGGGAAAAGTCCTTTGAAAATGTCATCAAATGGTTGTGAAAATGAGTTGGGTGACTCCAAGTTCACCGTTGGCCTGCTGAATTGCTTGCCGGATGTTGAGAAGGTAGGTGTACTTGACAGACCTTTCCTGAAAGCTGGCCCACGGGCTCATTGTCTAAAGTCCATCACCACACACAATCTTTCTGGTCACCAGCATTTGTGGCACTTGGGTTTAGGCTCTGCCTTAACCACTTCTTAAACGTATCTAGAAAGCAGCGTTATGTTTTCTGTGTATGACTCTAGCTCAGGCAGGATGTGCCTTCCAAGTTCTTCTTTAAAGATTTATTTTATTAGCTGGGCAATGGTGGTTCACACTTTTAATCAGCACTTGAGAGGTAGAGGCAGGCAGATCTCTGTGAGTTTGAGGCCAGCTTGGCCTACAGAGTGAGTTCCAGGACAGCCAGGGCTACAAAAACAAAAAACAACAACAGCAATAAAAGAGAAACAGAGTGAAGGAAATGCCTAGCAAATTAAAACTAAGGAACATTATTGTATATATGAAAAAGATTTGCGTGTATGTGCGAGTGCACATGTATGTATATGCACCACGTACCCGATTGGTACCTATATCGTCAATAGAGGGTGCCAGATCCCCCTGGAGCTGGTGTTATAGGCCATTGTGAACTGTTGATCTAAGTGCTAGAACTGAGCTCAGGTCCTCTGCAAAAGCAACAAGGACTCTTAACCACTGAGCCATCTCTCCAGTCCCCAAATAGCAGTTCATAAATTCACATCCATTGGTTTGGTTTAATTTAATTTATAAAGAAACAACAGCTTGTTTCTTAAAATGTTGATAAAATATACCACTACTTAAAAAGAATATTTAAATGACTTCTTTTTGAACCAACTTCCTTTATTTAAGGTTTAAAAACAGTATTTTTTTTTTCAGGTTTTTGAACCAACTTCCTTTATTTAAGGTTTAAAAACAGTATTTTTTTTTCAGGAAAAAAAAATGTGTGTGTGTGTGTGTGTGTGTGTGGGAGAGAGAGAGAGAGAGAGAGAGAGAGAGAGTGAGAGAGAGTGAGAGAGAGTGAGAGAGAGTGAGACAGGGTTTCTCTGTGTAGACCTGGCTGGCCTTGAACCTTGAACTCAGAGATCCACCTGCCTCTGCTTCCTAGGTGCTGGGATTAAAGGGCATACACTGCCATGCCTACCTCAGGAAATATTTTTTTTAATTCTATTTTTTTTCCTTTTTATAATTTTGTCTGTTTAAAATGATTTGTTAGTTAAAAAGCATGGTGGGGAAATGAGAGAAGCATGTTGTCCCGTAGAAGCCATCCTTTTATATTCGATCACCACAGTCCTGGCCCTGTCCTAACTTCAGACTTCCTAGTGTGTGGTCCCCTCTTGCGAGCCCAGGGTTGTCTGTGTTTAAACCAACGGCAGCTGCTGGTGTCACTTCAGAGGATCAAGTAGAGAGTGGGTGGGAGATGTCTTTTCCTAAGGCTGCCAGTTGGAATTTAGAATGTATTACTAATATTTCATGTGGACATCTAACCACGGAGTGTGTTGTTTGGACATATTTAGGCAACCCTGAAGATGCTGTTAGATCACCTGAAACTGGTGGCTTCGTACCATGAAGTGAATAAGATGACCTGCCAGAATTTAGCTGTGTGCTTTGGACCAGTGTTGCTTCACCAGAGGCAAGAGACTTCGACCCACAGCAACAGAGTCTTCACCGACTCCGAAGAGCTCGCAAGTGCTTTGGACTTCAAGAAGCACATTGAGGTCCTTCACTACTTGCTCCAGCTCTGGCCAGGTAAAGGAGTCTCCTAAGTGCGTTTCTTTAGCAGCCTTGGGGTATGTGGGCTAGCTAATGATTAAAATGACTGGATATGATTGGGGGTGGGTGTAGGTTTTTGCTTTTTCAATACTGAAGAATTGACACCTGCTCTATAGTGTCTGCTATTTATATTTTGTGTTTGCTCATACCATTGTAGACATTTGAGCCATTGTTACACATTTTGGCTCTAGTAAGACCTGGATTGGAATGCTGCTTGGACCACATACAGTGCTCCGATCGTGGCAATCTAAGTTTATAGACTTGGTGTGGAAATTAAGTACATGGATGTACTTAAGGTACAGCATAGTTGTTAGCACACAGTGCTCAATTATTTTATTTTCTCACTTTTATTTAATTTGTTATGAAGCAAATTTAATTTTTCATTTTTAAGTCTGTTCTTCTTTTAGTCTTAGCGTGTATTTTATTTTTATTTATGTGATGTGCTCATGCAGATGGGGTCTGAAAGGGCCGGAAAAAGGGTCCCCTGCAGCAGGAGTTAAGCAGGCAAATGTGAGCTACCTGATGTGGGCTCTCTGGAAGAGCAGTAAGTGCTCTTAACAACTGAGACATCGCTCCAGCCCATGTCCAGTCTTTCTGACAGAGTTACAATATAAATGCTTATTTTTAAATTACTTCAGGTCCTGCTGGCAATTAATTACCTTCGATATTTTGGTCTTAAAAATTCTGTTTGCATGGTACTGAAGAGACGAATCAATGGTTAGAGCACTAGTTGCTCTTCCAGAGGACCCAAAGGGCAGGCTCAATTCCCAGCACCCACAAGGTAGCTCACAACCATCGATAACTCCAGTACCAGGAAATCTGGTACCCTCTTGTCACCTCTGTGGGCGTCAGTTATTCACACAGTGCATATTACATACATGCAGAAAAACATACGTAAATCATAAAAATTCTTTAAATTTGTTTTTTACATTTGTTTATTTATTCTGTGTGTGGGAGGTGGGGATATGCGTGTGTGCCTGAGGTCAGGATGGCTTCTCTCCTTCCACCTTGTCCTGTGGATGGAGCTCAGGTCCTGAAAAGCTCTCTTACTCACCGAGCCATCTTCCCAGCCCTACCCTCTGCTCCTCTGTGTTATACACACATCTGCATATATGTAAATTTAAACAGGTTTATTATTGACTACACTTTCTTTATCTAAGACTTTTTTTGTATGTGTGTTTGCTTGCGTGTCTGTCTGTGCATCACATGTGTGCATTTCTGTGGAGGCCAGAAGAAGATGTCAGATCCCCTGGAACTGGAGTTTTACAGACCGTTGTTAGCAGTCATGTGGGTGCTGGGAATTGAACCTGTTTCCACTGCAGGAACAGCCAGTGCTCCTAACCTCTGAGCCATCTCTACAGCCCATGAACTGTATTTTAATGACAACTTGAAACAGTTCTCTCGGGTTTAGCATCTTATTCCAAAGACTTTTGTTGCTGGTTGTAATCATAACGTTTTCTATAACCTGTTATTTTCCTTGAAAGTACCCTAGACAAAAGACAGAGCCGACAGAGGATGAGGGAGACAATAGTTTTCCCCTCTAAATTGCCTGTTACGGATTTCAGGGAAGGAGGACATCATGTAACTAAGGTGCAGTTACTGGGCCTGTGAAAACCGAGGTGTGACATAGAGAATGCCAGAGCCATCCCGTGCATCCAGGGGAAGGGAGCACACCTTACTGTCCGTGGAGTTTCCTTCACTCCAGGACTGTAGGGAGTTGCCTTCAGCCTCTTTTGTTACATGTTTTTTCTTACACATTTTGCTTTTTGTGTTACTGTTGACCCTCCCCTCTCCAAGAAGATAATTTGCTTTGAGATTTCTGTTTGTAACGTCCTGTCTTCAGAGTGAGAGGAGCCTGTTACATTAGCCCCTGAAGGGAACATACCTCATCGTCCAGCACGCCCTGTGTGTCTCTCTCTGCCAGTGGCTTTGCAGCTGGGTGAACAAGGGGTCCTGGCCCAGCAGAAACACAGATACTTATATGGGATACTCATCTTCTTATATGTTTTGTATTTGGGGCTTTTAAAAACACAGTGGGATTGCGATGGAAAAGAGTCCTGGATGCTATTGTTAGTCTACCCTTTTACTTTACTTTCAGAGTGGAGATATAGATTTAAAGTTGTTGGGACTTCCAACTTCTTATTGGTTGTAAAATTTGTAAGGTCACAGATGATATTTACCTACCCCATGTTCTTAGTTCCTGGTGTTAACGGCCATCTAATATGGTTGTGTTAAATGAAGATGTTGTTTTCTAAGAGAAAGTAATATAGTGAACTCAAATCTACTGGTATAAAATATAAGGGAAAATCAAGCATCTTAGTACTTATTACACTTTAAAGTGTTCTCAACAGCCTTATTTGGTGACATTTTTGCCTCTTTCTGCTGAAAACAGTAAATAGCAGCACAGGGAAAGCCAGGCCTTCTCTTTCAGGGTTAAGGTTAACCATTTTCCTTACAAACTTACAGGAAAACATCCCAGTATCAATAGTTTAAAAAGACAGCTACATCTATGTTTCAAGAAATGGAATTTTTAGTCTAATGTAAAATAATGATTTAATTGGTTTCTTGAGTATTCTCCAAAGAAACTGTAAAAGTAGAGTTTCAGTCGAGCCCTGGCTGAGCCGAAGAGATGTGGACTCTTCTTCAGACTAGCAGTGTGCTGTCGACTGCTTGGCAGAAACTTCAGACACAAGAGTGAGAACAGGAAGAGCACAGAGGACCAGGGAAGCAGCGAGATAATAAGATTTCTTGTCCTCCACTGGTACCAGGCGCGTATCTGTACACACATACGTGGAGGCACAGCATTCGTATGCAAAATGAATCTTTAAAAATGAAATAAACAGAATGTTAAAAAACATGCAACGTACAGCTGTTAAAATAAAAGTTAAATTTGTAAAATATCTCTGTAAAATGTTGGGAATATTATTTTAAGTGGAAGGCTAGGATGGGTATATCGTTCTTAAGTTGTTTGGCAAACAAACCTTCATGGTATGTTGTAGAATCGATGTTATCACTGGTTTATGTCCCCTTAGTGAGGGCGCTATAAGGGAGAGGCAGACAGAATACACAAGCAGAAAGAGATAGGCAATGTGGATAATCTTTAATAACTGTGCGTTTTACACAGTCTGCTTTATATGCTGAAGAACCTTAGGCAGATACTTTGCTCCAAGTAAGCAATGGAAGTCTTGTTTTGTATGAAGTCAAGTGTGTCTGTTGTCTTCCGTGTGACCAGTACAATGCAAGATGGTAGAAGGCAGCTTATGTCAGAAGAAAATAGTCTAAATACAAAGAATGTTGTTTGAGGTTGTTAAATCTCTAACCAGAATTGGAAAATAAAATATCTGTGCTATTTCCAGGCCAAAAAAAAGAAGACTCTTAGTAGCTAATGCTGTATAATCATTCAGGTAAACAATGGCCAAGTCTAGTAGTCATGCATTTTATCTAAGTGAAATTTGGGCTGCTTGGTAAATGATGACACATGGCTAGCTGCAAAAAAAGCCCACCAAGGTCAGAGCTAGAACAATCACCTTAGATGCCTTTGCCTCGGCTAGATGTTTGTAGAAAAGGAACCTCTTGTTCCATGCCATTTACGCACCGTGTCTTGCCTGCTTTTTGCTGTAGTCTTTAATGTAAGAGGAGCTACTAGCTTAGAATTACAGCTAGGTAACCATTAACTTGCACAGAACGTTAATCAACGTCGGGAGTTTTATTGGGGAATGTTTTTATTTAGCATGAAGTAGTACCACTGAACGTTCTAGTCTGTATGCTAATCTTAATTATATCTGGTGGTAGAAAAATTACTATAGGATGCTTCCTTTCAATAGAACGCATGTCTCAAGTGCATGTTTGTGTTGATTATTCAATGGCTTTATTGTCTGCTCTGTCTTCCTAAGGCCCATGGTTTTAACTAAAGCACATGTATTCATTTCTAGTGCAACGCTTAGCTGTCAAAGAACCCCCAGACAGTCTGTGCCTGGAGCAGTCATCTCTGAATCATTTGAGGCGAAAGAGAGAACGACCGTGTGTATTGAATCTGAGCAGTACTGATTCATCCGGCGTGCTGAGGCCAAGGCCGGCCAGGCTAGATAGTCCACTCAGCAACCGCTATGCAGGAGACTGGAGCAGCTGTGGGAAAAACTATTTTTTAAATATGAAAGAAAATTTCAAAGATTTGGATTATGATGATGTTCCCTTAGAAGATGGGGAAAGTAGAGACCCTCCCAAAACGGATGGAGCGGAGGTCATGATCAAGCAACAACACCCCGTGTCTAAAGCCTGCACGTTTCAGACGTACTTGACAATGGAGACAATCGAGTCTACCATGAGCCAGAAGGCTAACCTCAGAGATCTGCAAGAAAGTATTGATGCTTTGATTGGCAGTCTGGAGCGTGAGCTCAATAAGAACAAGCTGAATATGAGTGTGTGAGATGGGGGCAGTTTTATTTGTGATGGTGGTGTCATCAGGTTTCAGGTCAATCCTCAGTTTCCTTTTTTACTCCTCTCATGGAATTAAGTTAATTCCTAATAAGTTCATGTGATTCAGTTACAAACACTATTCATTAATATGGTTGTTTTAGTTATGACCATTTGGGGGACGTTTTAATAAACCTTGCTGGTCATGTGGAGGAGACTTGGGGGTGTGTATAGGGTCAGGGAGTTTTTACCCCTCATGGCTTTGGTGCGTTGTGAGAACTGCTCTTCTGTAGATGGGGACAGGTGTCCACTGCAGCTGGCCAGGCTGATTTGCAGTCAGAGTCCTCGTGCAATGCCATTTGGTCACATTTCATTTGCAATATGAATGCTGCTATATGAAAACTTTTTATAAATGTAAAATTATACAGATATTAATTAATGTATTAACATTCAGTAATTATTTAAGCTTATAAAAATTAAATATTTTTATGATTCTGAGAACATGTATATATTTATAAGTGCATTGTAGATATAGATTTTACAATGAGGGAAGGAGTTGACTGTAGAATTCCATGTATTTTAAAAAGTATGTCATGAGGCCAAATTTATTAGCCTAAAAATGTGTTCATCAGGGAAAGACCGATTAAGTTAAAAGATAAGTTACATAAAAGCCACTTGAATGAATACACACTAGAAGTGTTTGAGGAGAAATGATGGTGTTTCTGTTTTGCTTCTTAGACTCAGTGTCCCTGTGAAAAGTCATACTCTTAAGCTGAGCCCTTCAGCTGAGTAAGGGATGGAGTGACCCTGCATAGTGACCTAAGCAGACTTCACCTGTTCTGTGCATTTTTGCTTTATGTGAATCTGTATTTATTTGTAGTGGTACACTTAAATGTTGACTTCACAATTGCCCTTGTTTCTAAAGAAGTCATCTTGCCAGGATGCTACATTTTTACAATTTTTTTTTATTAACTTATTATTAAGTACATCTGTGAGGCAGTTGTTACAGAAACCATACTGGTGTTTGAAAAGATGTAAATTTAGAAGGTTTTTAAAAATTAAATTGTCATGTGTTTTAAAAACTTTCATACTGACAAATGTGTAATTTTAAAAGTATAAATGAAACTTGAGTTACCAGGTTTAAAGTGTGACAGCTATGCAAAAACTGGTTTCTTAATGTTTTTCTAAATATTAGAGTATAAATGTAACAACCACTTCTATGTAATACACAGAATATTCAGGTATTTAATTTGAAAGCCACTATATAAAGAAAAATAACTATTTTTATGTGAGACTTTCTTTTTTTACAACTTTGTGTAACAAATACCAGAGACTATGCACCAAGAGTGTGTCATGAGTAAACAAAGTATTGTTAAATGTTTTGTGGGGAAAGTCTCTGTTTCTTCCCTTTGTGTCATGTATGTAAGTCAAGTAAGTGGCTCCAGAAATGTCACTTTTATTAAAGATATTATAACAGTGTCATGCTATTATAATTGATTTTAAGGATCACTTTCATATTCTTATTTCTCTATGTAGCCCTAGCTGTCCTGGAACTTGTCTATAGACCAGGCTGGCCTCTAAGTATAGATCTGCCTGCCTCTGCCTCTGCAGTGCTGGGACTAAAGGTGTTTGTTCTCTCTCTCTCTCTCTCTCTTTCTCTCTCTCTCTCACACACACACAAACACACACACCAAAAAAAAAAAAAACAAAAAACAAAAAAAAACCAAAAAAACACATGCCTGGCTCACTTTCATATTTTTATCTCTCTCTCTCTCTCTCTCTTTCTCTCTCTCTCTCACACACACACAAACACACACACCAAAAAAAAAAACAAAAAACAAAAAACAAAAAAAAACAAAAAAACACATGCCTGGCTCACTTTCATATTTTATTTTAAGATTTATTTATTTATTACAGTGTTATGCCTACACACAGGAAGAGGGCACCAAATCTCATTACAGACAGTTGTGAGCCACCATGTGGTTGCTGGGAATTGAACTCAGGACCTCTGGAAGAGCAGCCAATGCTCTTAACCTCTGAGCCATGATGCCAGCCCCCACTTTCATATTCTTAAGTGAGTTATTAATATGTTTTCATTAATATGTCCAAAATTGGAATTTTTTTGGAGTCTGAAATACTTCAAGGCCTATTATTATTTCATTTTTAATGAGAATAGTTCCTGACCAGTCTCTGTAGCCTTGATTATGTTTAACAATTTTTTTTTTCTTTTTTTTATTTAAATCACTGTCAGAACTACAGGCCTTTTTTCTTGCCTTTGCTGCTTCTAGAATTGTCAAATTAGATGCTTTTACATAAGCAATTTTTAAAAAATTACACTATACTGTGTGTGTGTTCATAAGTGTGTCTGTGTGGTGTGTGTTCATAAATGTGTGTGTTCATATGTGTGTGTGTGTGGCGTGTGTGTGTGTGTGTGTGTGTGTGTGTGTGTGTGTGTTTGGGTGGGGGAAACTGAGAGCTCACATGGCATGTGTGTGGGAGTCTTAGGCATCAAACTCCCGCATCATGCTTGGTTTTTGTCCACTGAGATATCCCTGTCCCGAGCAAGTCCTCACAGAACTGTGCTCAGATCCACATCCATCAGCATCTGGACTTGTACAGTTATGGCAGTCTCTAAGTGCTTTCTGAGAGCCTGGAGGCCCTGCATCTGCTCGAGGCTGCGCAGGGCACATCAGAGATAAGCTTGGAATCTCTCCAGGTCTCATGGCACTTTTCGTTTCTTTCCTCTTCTTTATTTTGATTGGTCTTGCAGTCGCCCGTTGAAACTAGGTTAGAACATTGAAGGCATTTCACATTAGGTAATAAGTCTTTCTAGTTGTGTAGTTAGCTGAGATAGACGCATGGTCATCAGAGGAGAAACAGCAGTAGAGGGGTGTCCATGCGTGTGTGTGTGTGGGTGTGTGTGTGGGTGTGTGTGTGTGTGTGTGTGTGTAGGAGGAGGAGGAGGAGGAGGAGGAGGAGCCCAAAGAGTCTGCCTGTAAGCTTTAGAAGTATAGCTCAAACAGTAGAAGAAGTTGCCAGAAAAAAGAAATCAAATGGCCAGGCATGATGGCACACACCTTTAATCCCAGCACGCAGGAGGCAGAAACAGGTGGATCTCTGCATGTTTGTAGCCAGCCTGGTCTACATAGCAAGTTCCAGGACAGCCAGGTTACATAGACCTTGTCTAAAAACAAAAACATAAAATAATTTCCTGTTATGTGGTCCTTAGATTAGATGGTATTGGTGGCAGCCCTTTACCAGAAGCTTCATGGTGTTCTGTTAGCAAGCGAGATGTGCTCCTTGTGTCTGGTGCTGATGCCAGTCATCACCAGACTCCAGAAACAGAAAGCTTCATTGTGCATCTCTAAGGATTGCTGTGTCTCATGTAATAGCTGTCAGTGAAAATGGCAGAATGTGTAGGTTTATGGTAGGGACCCAAAGAAAATGAATTTATTTTGGTTTTTGAGACAAGGTTTGCCCTGGCTGTCCTGGAACTCTCTTTGTAGAACAAACTGTCCTCGAACTCACAGAGATCCACCTTCTCTGCCTCCTGAGTGCTGGGATTAAAGGCGTGTGTCACCTTTTATAAGTTAAAATCATCATTTTCAAGTACTTTGAAATGATAAAATTGGATTGCCCTTATAACTAACAACTCCCCCCAAAGGCTGGAGGATCACTGCAAGTTCAAGGCCAGCCAGGACTGTTTAGTAAAACTCTGTCTCAAAAATCCCCACAAATCCTAATTGGGTTCCTATTCACCTCAGTACAAGAGAAATGATCTTTGACCAGTTTGCAAAAATCCATTTGGTTTGTTCATAGTTGATGAGCAGTGGATTACTGCAAGTAGTTCTTGGTTACATTGGCCAAAAATTAACTGGTTAACTCAGGCATAAAAGGAATTTGAAAACCAGGAGTCAGAGGCAAGGTTCCCTTAAGGTGCTGACAGGTTTTGTTCTTGTTGATTTCAAAGGTTGTATCTCAAGTTGCACACTTTTGATTTGTGATTTTTTATGTTATGCTTCAGTTTTTTTCTTTCTTTCTTTCTTTTTAGTGTGCTAGAAACAATCAGCAAGCTAAGAAAGCTTGAGAGGAGGTAGGAACAGTGATGCTGCTATGGTCACCACTGCTCTTGGTCATTTCTGCTTCACATTTCCTGACAAAAGCCCCAGTTCTGTTCCCTGTCTCCCATCATTAGGAATTCGCTGTGTCCCTTCCTCTACGGCAGTGGCTCTCAACTTTCTTAACGCTGTGACCCTTTCATACAATTGCTCTTGTTGTGGTGACCCCCCCACACACACACCATAAAATTATTTTCATTGCTATTTCATAATTAATTTTGCTCCTGTCGAACTGTAATGTAAATATCTGATACTCAGCCCCTGTGAAAGGGTCGCTGGACTCCCACAACTCTGGCTGAGGACCACTGGTGGCCTAAAGGGGTGAGTTTTCTGGCTACAAGGGGAGCATCTTGAGTGCTAAGCAGGCGCAACTGACAAATAAGTGTCCACAGCACGTCACTGTTCTTCCTCTTGCCCGTAGCTCCGTGTTAGTCTCCTCCACCGATCCCTACACCCTCCCATCAAAGATCCGAGTGTGGTCAATGACAAACTGCCCTTTGCTTTGTTATTGCTGACACTCTAATGTGTTTCTTGTCTTCCCTATCTGCTGCCACTGTTCTCTCTGTGTCCACAGCCCCTGATATGTATGGGGACTAAAGTGACTAGAAAGATAGAGTGTATTGCTTCCTGGGTATTGTGGTTTCTTGTACTCTACCCACCCTAGGACTTCACTGGGCCCAGGATCTCTCCACTTGCCCTTCCTGTGACTTAGGCAGTTCCTTTTTGTCATTCCTGCCTCTGATGAAATATCACTTCAAA